GGAGAATTTAGATAAAAATTTTCGATACTAAGATTTCAAATCTCATTTATTATCACCAATAAAAGTTTTTTACAAAATTTAAATAAATTCAACGATGGAGCCTCTTCAAAGCATGACAAATAGTCTCTTTGAATACTCCTGAGGTGAGAAAATGTTCTTGAATTATTACCAATATATTGGAGTAATTTCATGATAATTTTTAATATTAAATTATTTGATAAAGTTTTAAGGTTTTAGATAACACGAAATCAAACTAATACCATCCTTTTATAGACATTATAAGGATACTATAACTTTCCTTACACATAATCATACTCCTAGATTTAGTTCTGGTTTCTTAGGCTAGAATCTATATTTTAAAGATATTTAAGTCAAGCTTGAGATTTTTCTTTAAAATATGACAAATTCAGTTAAGTGACCAATCACACCTATATAAAAAAGATTGGTGACGACTCCTTAGATCATGTCTAGCAGTGGGTCAACAGATCTATACATTATGATAATAATATAAAATAAATGTAAATAATTAAAAAAAGTTATTCAAGTATCACAAAAATTGTTGATTTACTTTTTATGCAAGAAGAAGAATCAAAAGAGAGAATTAAAAAAAAAAAACTAAAATAAAAGGCTAACCCATTTATTTAATCATGTAAAAAGGATTTTGTTAATCAATTTTACCATTTTTCAAAGTCAAATTTCCAATTTTATTATCAAAATAACGTAGATCCATTTTGCAATCTTCAATATTTAGCTGTTTCAGTTTGAAACAGAAGGCTTTTGGAATCTGAAATTTGCATAATGAAATGGCTGTTTGTCATTATTTTTTTCCTAGGGAAAGAAAAATGGAAGATGAAAGAATGTTTGTTCTTAAGTAAATAAAAAATCAAATAATTGGATTTGGGTATAAGAAATAAGAAAGGATTTGGGCTTTTTTTTTTTTTAATGGCAGAAACTTTTTTTTTAAGAATCATGACCAAATGTACGGTATAACAACTGAATCTTCACAAAAACAAATAACGAATAGTTGAGGATGAACAAATGCAAGGTATGATGATTGAATTTCCCCAAAAAAAATAATGAATGGACAATCGAGAATAAAGAATAAGAAGTCAAGTGGTTGTTTTTTCAATTAATGTCAACCATATAGCTATTAGCAGCCAAAAGAGTTTAATTTTTGAAAAAAAAAAAGAATAAAAATGGCAGGATAATAAATTTAAGAAACAAAGAAAGAAAAGGAAAGATAAAAGGATTCAAAGAATAGACTAAAAGTTGACAAATGGCATCATAGTAGATAACTGTAGGTTCAAATAGATTATTATTAAATATATATTATATTACAACATATGTAATTATCAAATAAAATTTGTTGATTTAGATATTTACTTGAACAGCATTTTTTTTTGACACGTAAAAAAATTTTATATTAACACATAAGATATTTTCTAATTTTAGACTATTTATCAAAAATATATATTTCAAAAGTTATTGAATTATCCAAAATTTTTAAAATTTAAATGAAAACCATTTTAGATTTTAAATAATTAAATAGATAAAATTATTATTTTTTGTAAGATTTAAAATTAATTCTTATTTTGTATTTATGGATTAAATAAATGTATTTAAAAAATCATTGGTTATTCAAATCTTTTTAAGATATATTTATTTTTTTTTAATTATTTGAAGTTTCTATTTCAACTGGAACAAAAAAAAACCATCTCTATCCGTCAAATATACCTTTAAATATATCTCAAAAGTTGTATTACAAGTAAAAATTACAAATACAATCAAATATTTTCAACATAATATATATTCACACTAAAAATTAGTAAAAGATAAACCAATCAATACCAATGTAGATTGATTTAAATTACAGTCTCATGAGATGAGACTTAATTAAAAAAATTTTTTATTAATCTAAATCAAAACGTCTACATGAGCTCTTTAAAGTCTACAAAGGCTCTAACGGAGTTACAAAAACAAAAGAAAATTAGATGAATATAGGATAGAGATTATTGGACTAGAAACTAAAAATGACCTTAAGAATGGTCAAAGTAAACATAAAAATTAAATAATTTATTTTTAAAACACTCATCAAAATTTCCCAATAAATATGTACTACTTATTTTTATTTATAATAATCAAGGCAATAATATATTTTTTAAAATTATTTTTTTATTAATTTAGATATATCTTTTAAAATATAAAAATATCAAATGTAATTTTATCCCAATAAAATTATGATAATCTTTTAATATTTAGAAAAACTAAATTTAATTTCTTGATAATTTATAAATTATTCCTTAACATCTTCTTTAACATCAATTTGATTTATTTTATTTTTTTTTGGCCATTGTTCTCCACTTTTATATGTTCCTTGTTTTATTTTTATATTACATTATTGAAGTTACAAAAGCATTTATTTTTTCTTTTCTAGGTGCTTACAATAAGTTCTTTGTGTTTAGCTTTGACTTTTTGTCATATATTATAATGTACAAAATTATAAAAACATATGTATTCTTATATTTTTATTGGTTCTATCCGCAAGCTTTTTATCTTTACTTTTGACTCTTCTCTTAATTGGGTATTTCTTTTTTCTTTCAATTGGCTTTTTTTACATATACTATAAGGTGCAAAGTTAAACATTTATTCTCATTTTTGTAGGTGCTGTCCACAAACCTTTTATTTTTGCCTTTGACTTTTCATTCAATCAGGTATTATCTTTTTCTCAATTCAACTATTTTACATATGTAAAAAGACTTTCAATAACAGTTTACTTGATCACAATTATTTAAACTTATTATTTATGTCAAAATATTATTATAAAATAATAATTAATTAGAATATTTGAAAATTATATTATATAATATAAACGACCAATGGATTATTACCTTATATAAAAGTTTGTAATCTTCTATACTTTCTTTTCTTCAATATCATAACACTCCTTTTATTAATAAAAATATTAAGATGAACTGAAATCTAATTTCATTTCTTACGAAAGGGTGTAAGACAAGGAAAAGTAAGCCTGATGACTTAAAATTCTCCCTTCATTATTCTCTCAATATAAAATCTTCTATATCTTCTAGATTTTTTTTTCCTTCCATCAATAATATTTTATAGTATATTTTAAATTTTATTAATTTTTTAATTAAAAATTTTATTTTATTATAATTTGATATCTTAATTATATTATTTATGTTTTATATATTTTTAAATATGTAAATGATTAAATAATATTAATTTATTTTTTTATTCATATTTAAATAAAAATAAAAATAATTCGTGTGTTGCACATGTAGCAAATTAGTTGCTGAAAGATTTTAGAATTGGCATATATTTTCTTGGAAAACATATCTCTTAAGGCATATGCAGCAAAAATTCTGTAACATAGTAGGTAATTTTTTCTATTTCATTTTTTACTTTAGGTTAGAAATAAAAATAAATTAAAAAACAGAAAAGGGAAGAAAAAATTAATTTCGAACATGCAGTTGGCCTGTTCAGAAAGCCTGATGTATCAGATGGCTCTAAGAATGAGATTAAGCTCTCTTTTATTTTTGTCCTCTCAAAGTTGTTAAGATGTAGCTTGAGCGCTTCAACCTTGAAAACATTGCTAGTCTGGAATTCTGAGACTTCAGTGTTTTTCTTTTAATTCCTTCATTGAAATTGTTATTAGATGCTCTTTTCTCATATTATGTTCCATTCTTTTTATCAGATAAATAGATATGAATGCTTTAAATTGAAGAAACATAGTAGGCAATATAGAATTGTTTTAGCATAAGCAAAACAAAGTTGCAAAATGACAACCCATGACATGCTTGAGATCATGTTTTCAAATTGGTGCTTTTGTTTAGAATTGTAACGAATGAAGCGAATAAAATTACATCCTGGAATGCATGATGCTTAAAACGTAGTATTATTATTGGATGGTAATTACTATTTACGTAAAATGGCCGGATAAATTTTTTTTAATTTAAAATAATATAATAGATTATATATATATATATATGTATATGTATGTCTTTTAATTTTAAAAAATCAAATACTAAAATATTATAAGAAAATTTGTAGACAAAAATCATATTTGAAATTTCTTTTAATTTAGAAAAAAAAAAACTATTAATTTTGTTTGTAATTATTTAAATTTCAAATATTTATTACAACTTAAATTTGATTTTAAACGGCTAGCATCATATTTTCACGTAACCAACATTAATCCATTTTTTTGCTTTCTCATCCAATTTTATTTTGAAAATTCAATAATTTACAATATAATAAATTAAAGTATTTTCAGTTTTAAAATTAAAGTTTTGGCTTTTTTAAGTTTTTTTAAGTACATTATTTTACATACTATCTTATGTATCAAAAATATAAATTATCTACATATACATTTACATGACATCAATATTTATACCTTCTATAATATAATATAATACAATATAATTAACTTTTTAACCAGTGCAATGCATAGGATTTTTATTATATTTTTTATAGTTAAAAAGAGTAAGTTTTGAAATAAATTTTATTCAAATTAAATTGATAAATATATTTCGAATTTCAAAAAAAATAATAAGTGATATTATGATTACAAATTTTAAAGAAATTTAAAAAACAAAAGATTATGAGTGAATTTAATAAGATAAGAATATTTTTTGAGATTTTAAAGTTTAAAATTTTTATTTCATGATTTAATCTTGAATTTGATTCCTCATTTTTTTAAAATTTAAAATATTTATTTTTTTAGATTCTTTAATTGGTGAATTATAAAATTAGATCAACACTTGATTTAAAATATAATAGAGATTTATATAACTATTAATTATTTAAAATACATTTATTTATTTTAATTAATAAATAGTATAAAAAGAAGATTTGTCTTTTTTGATAAATTTCTTATATGTCAAATAAATAGACTATCTATTTAAACGTTTATATAAACAAATTTTATTAAATAATCACATATCTTGTAATATAATATTTTATATATATATATATATATAGATGATTCCGTCTATTTCAGTAGCTATTTAATAACTTACTCAGCAAATTTAACATTTCCAGCTACATTTAACATTTTTTTTTTTTTTTTTGCCATAGCTACTTCAAATATTTAATAACATAAATTTCAAAATTTAACCTAGTCAAGACATATAACCCTATAGAGCTGAAAGTAAAGCCTATTTAAACTTAAAAAGATTCACTCAACCGTATACCCTACCCAAACCCAATATATCAAGATTCTAGATCAATTTGACTCGAACCCTAATTTTAATCTAAGCTAGAAGCTTAAGTTTAGCATAATACTTTTTTATTTTCCTTTTTATGAATTTTAATTTAATTAAACATAATCAATATAATTAACATAAGAAATTACTTGAACTCATTGAATTATTATTATTTAAAAAAAAAAAGAATCTATACCAATTTAATTTTAACATTATCTTAACCAAATTATAAATGAACCGAACCCAAATTTCAACTTTTGAACCAGAACTAAACACAAATCAATCCATCCAATTACCACCTCTATAAAAATAACAATTCAATTTGGCTTTTGTGTTTCCTAAGGCTTTTCTTTTCACATAACCTTAAGTAACCAAAATGTTTCCCAAGCTTCCAAAATTTGGAAGCACATCATCTACATATTCAACTTTCTAAACAAACAATAGATCAAAAACTGCACCAGAAAGCCCACACTATGTAAGCTTGTAAATATTCTAATGAAAAAGCTAAATGCTAATTGTAGGATTTAACATTTAGTTAATTCTCAATTAAGGATATAGTATTTAATTTAAATTAAATCCAGACCAAAAATTTTCAAGTATAATAAAAAAAAACTCTTTCTAACAAAATTAAAAGAGTGAAATACTATACCGTTAACTCACGTGATAAATTGAATTATTTTTTTTCACGTGTCATTTTTACTTATGTGACATCTAAACATGCAATTCTTGGCTAACATGGCAATGTTTTGTGGCTGATATGGCAATTTTGAAGAAAAAATAATCCCAATTTTTAAAACCTAAATCCCAGAACTAACTAATTTATGAAAAACAAACAAAAATGATACAAGAATTTTATTTGTTTCTATGATACAAAAATTTTAGAATTCATAACCAATCAATTACAGTAGATACAGCCAGTCCACAAACCAAAAATCATACATTTCATTTACAATCATCTTACTTCAAATGGAAAAATACGATTTCTTAAAAAATTTAACATATCCTAAATTGATTTTATAATCTGTAACCTAATAAAAATAAATCACATTTTTTTTTCTTTTTTGCTATTGTATTGAAAACTACAAAAATCAGAAATTTTCAACCATTGAAGCCTTCAAGATATTGGAACTATAAGAATGATTCTCCGTTTGTCTTTGTTTCTATCAAAAGCTAGGAAAGAAAAATCAGCTTAAGCAAAAGCAACTCTCTTACCTAACTCCTGTCTTTGAAATCCAACCCTTTTTCACAAACAGAGCAGTTTTATTGAAAAGATTAGGCATACATGGACCAAATGGACCTTTTTCACAAGCAGAGCAGTTTTATTGAAAAGATTAAGCATGTGTGGACCAAACAAGAAGGGGTCAAGGTCTGATAGTAGCGATCCAGATTTATAGCATTGTTTTTTTCATGATTTCCCAGAACGAAATGGAGGATTCAAACATTTTAAGGACAAGAGAGGCACATTGTGGATTCAAACAGAAATGAGAGGAAAAAAAAAAAAAGAAAGTGGTCAGCTTTTCAGTGGTCTTAGCAACAATAACGACAAGGACTGATATGCAACTGATATGGAAGCAAGATTTTTGGTGAGGAAACTAAGAAAGGAGAAAACCAAAGAGGGAAATCCCTTCAAAAGAGAGAGAAAGAGTTTGGTGATATTACATAAATGCCACATAAGTTTCATCTGTCACTTTTTTTCAAGTAAATGTCGTGTGTTTCAAAATTGTTAAAAATCGATAATGTTTATTCCACGTTTAATTATGAAGTGAACAATATCCCAAACATTTAATCTTAAATAAAGCATAATTTAAACATTGAAAATGTACACAAGAAACATACAAGAAAAAACACAAGATATGGTCAAGATGAACAAAAAGACAGAAATTTTGAAACCGGGTAAACAACACAATATATAGTCCCATAGAAAACCTAGTTTTACTCATTGATCTTTATTATCAAGCATCGCAGTGAAAAACTCACAGAAACTTCCTGTATGGCCTACCTGCATCTTCATCCTGCAAATGCTGTTGCCAGAATTACAAAAACAGTTAGACAAATGCACATAGCAAAATAAAGAAGGAAAACAAATTTTAAACCCTATGGCAACATGACCTTGCAAAAAATACAAGACAGAAATCAAACAAGATATTGCAACACTATCCAAGAATTAAAACAAACAACTTAATGAAATGCTGAAGAAAATCAAGAGTATAAAAGAAAAAATCGCATTTAATGGTCAAAAGAAGATTTTGAATTTACACTTGTACATGCCCCACAAACATGCGCATTAATTTGCTACGCTGCTAAGAGATTTGAATAATAAGTGACCTTATAGCAAATAAGAATTCAAATTTGGCCCAGTTCTTCTCATCCTCCCCCAGCCTTGTCTAAACGTACCAATAATAATAATAATAATAATAATAATAATAATAATAAATGACAGAGAGAAATCTTATAGCAGCAACATTGCATTTTAGAGCATAATTTAACAACAGAAATAAATATAACAAAAATTTAGCAATAAAACAAAAAAAAAGTATTTGATAAAAGTAACTCTTGGTATATGTACAGAAAATATCTTCATGGAATACCATAAACAATAAAATACAATCCAAGAAATTGAATAAGACACCAGTTTCAGCATTTTTGAATGCCACATCTCCAATGTGATCATAAAAGCAACCCATAATATTTAGCAGATAAGAACTCAGCTAATGGACATTGAAACAACTAACTTAAACTGGGGGAAGAGACGAAGATCTACATTGCATGGACTCAGGATCCCATGTTGGACACAGATGTCATATTTTTGGTAATTTTCTACATTAATTTGAGGGTCTCCAAGAAGTGTTGCACAAGGCCTGTTAAGGTAAAATGAATAGTTTGTGTAACACAGGGGAAGAGCAGGAGGGAAGTTCAGAGGAATTGAGAATACAAAATCTGATCAAGTCATATCTTGAGGCAACTCCACTTCCACGTAAGGGACCAAGTTATTCAATTTTGAAATAATCAAGAAGAAGACACAAGTTAATTGACCACTCATAAGTAGAAATTTTTGAACCATTCATTTGACATAATTGACACTTAATCAAGACACTTGACATCAACTTCACATAAAACTTCATGTGGTGCGAATATGAGTTTTACACTTCATGTAACTGGGTAATATGAGAAGTCAGATCAACTACAGAGTCTATTGACATCCAATACTCTAAGGAACATAATTTTAAAAAATAATAAAATCACTGTAGAACAAGAATATGCAATAAGTGGATCAATTTACCCTTTATGAAAGTGAAGAACCTAGAAATCATACTCTCTTTTGCCATCAAGTTATCTAGCTACTCAATACTTATTGTACATATATTGAACAAAAACTAATTACAACAATAGTTTACTAAGTTCACAAATACTTCTTACCACTTTCTTGTGAATAGAATAATATAATTGACACATTTCTCCACTGTAAACAGGACCTATCTACCACGTAGAGCTTCCAGAATGTATATGGTTAATGCCCACAAAAGCCCACTCCAATAGTTACTACCAGGAGATCTTGACATGATTCAGAATGAGCCTCATCCCTTTAGTAGGCTTTGAATACATTAACCACTTAGATAGAGTTCTCAGAAAGCATAGTGACTATTGAATACAGTAACCAGCGGGAATTTTGAGAAGAGTAGAGTAAAAAACAATCCTTTTCCTTGTTTGGAAGTGGAGTAGAGAGTATTGAAAATTGAAAAGTAGAATTTGCTATAGCCACTATTCCCTAATTTCAAAATCATCATCACAATAAATGCTGATGAGTAAAAGGGGAGTCAAAAGCTGAAATTGTTAAATCAAATTATCCGGATTTACAGGAATTCAAGAGTTTTCAAGAGGGTTTGGTTTCACCTACCTTGTAACTGCTATGTGCAAAATCTAACTACCAAGGTAGAGCAAAACGTTTGTTCTCTTTCAATCTACACTCCTATACTCTCCTATCACCCAAGCACAAAATTTTAAGCACCAAGAACTGCCCTGGCAAACTTTTATCAATTTTTTCTTTTCTTTGCTTTCTCAACTGTTAACCTGTTCTATGGTAGACAAGTGAACACCAAAGAATGATTTGCCCGGGTTTTCATTTTTATAGCTTACATGGGAAGACTATCAGCTTTTACAGGCAATACTAGAATAAAAGTCCTAATGTTCACTCAGACAAAAATTGAATTTTCAAAACCCTTTTCAAACAACTAAACCCCAAGGAAAATCAATTAAAACCCAATAAACATAAATCGCATAAAACGACAAATGGACGACTCGCAGTCAGTCAGTTAATCTCGACAAGCATTGTGCACCCGCAAATCGATTACTAATACAAAATCCCCAAATCCACATTTCAACTACTTTAAAATGCAATAAAAATTAAGATCGCAGGAAGCAAATCAAACCCAAATCGTTACATCATGCTTTAGTATAAATTTGAAGAGAGATAAGAGAAAAGAGATTACAAATTCACGAACAATGCCCTTGTAGATAAGGACGGGGATGGCGATGCCAAATATGCCAACGAGAGCTAAGTTGCGGCGAGTCCAGCGGAAGTTGACCTCCAGATTCTCTCTTTTAGTGCTCCAATCTTCTATGAACCTGTTTTTGTTTGCCTCCATTCCTCCCCCCATCTTTGTTTCATCTCTCTTTGTGCCTCTGCTACTTTTTCCCTTTTTTCTTTAATCCTAGGTTTCTCGTCTGGGATTTTAATATTTTATGCTCACCTCGGGGTTTCTAAGTAGATGGAATTAAAATAATAATAATAAAAAAAAAAAACTATTTTTAATGATTTATTTTAAAAAAATATTTAAAGAAATAATTTCAATGAAATAACGTTGAATATCTTGATTAAATTTTTAGCTATAAATTAATTTTATTTTAAAAAATATATTTAATTATACTAAGTATACATTATTTTCTTATTACACAAAAATCATACATTATTTTCTTTTAACCATTTATTATTTTAATTTCAACTTTTAACAATTGAAAATACTTATAAAATTAGATCTATTTTTTATAAAAAGAATTAATAAAAAATATATTAAATATTTCATTTTTAATATATCAAATAATTTTTATATCATAAATTTAGCATTTAATTTTTTTAAATCAAAAATTGGTTACATTACCTTATCAAATAAGATTTAGTCCCTTGAATAATAATTTGAACAAATCAAACTCATGTACTTTTTGAAATCTGAAACTTCAACCCAAAATATAACTAAGTTAAAAATTTAACATTAAGTTGCTAACGTGAACTTTTTATCTACATGAACTACTGATGTGGTATTTTCATGCCTAAAAATATCATTTTGTCCTACTGATGTGGCATTTCTTTTTTCTCTTTTATTTTTCGTTCACTTTGGCTTTTTTTTTTCATTTTTTACTTTTGTTCTTTCTCCTTCAACCCATGAGTCATCCCTCTTGACTTCACCTTCTCAATCACAACAGCCAAAAACCGGCAATAGCAATCCACAACAGCCCGATCAACCAGACCTTTTTTTTTATTTTTTATTTTCTTTTTGTTTAATTTTTCTTTCCTTAATTCAACTCAAAAGCAAGCATCCATTTTCTTTCTCTTTCAACTTGAAACGAAGCACCCATTTGCTTTCAAGCATTTTCAATCTCTTCAACCCTGAAACCTTTTCAACCAAATTGTGGAACATCCAAATTAATGTAACCATGATTTCAAGAGCAACAAGTTCAAGTTCTAGGCAATTAGATAGTTGTAAGAATTTTGGTAAGTTTTGTTTGTTTATTGTGGGAAATTTAGTGCTATTAATTAGAATATTGTGTGTTTGCAAAGGTTAAATTGTCATTGAAGTTATTTGATTGTTGTCGAGGAGATTATTTAAGAATCTCAATTATTTATGGGACATTTGTTTGGTGAAATATAAGATTTCAAAATAAAAAGTGATCTCCAAAAAAGTATAAATTTTAAAAAATGATTAATTTTTTTTATCATAAAAATATTAAATTCTTATATTTGATTCACAGAATCTCGTATTAAGTAATAAAATTTTTTTATTATAATATCCTTCATTACATATTAATAACACATGTCAAATATTTTAACTACAAATTATATTATTAAAATTAAACATGTGACAACCATTAAACAACAAAATTTTAAAAAAAAGTTTTCATTTTTATCATGTTAATAATAAAGTGATATGTTATGAAATATATATAATAATAATAGAGTTCAAAGGCGATTTTTTTTTAATATAAACATTGTCTTTAATAAATAAAAAAATTATAAACAACCACTATGTTTTTGTTATACACAGTATTTGTTACAAACACATAGTTTCTATAGCAATAAATACAGTGTTTGATAAACAATAAATTTTGTTTATAAAGAAGCATTCAAGCACCACATTTTTTTTTTTGTTAAACATAGTCATTGACAGCAAGCACTAAGTTTTGTTTTGCTAAACGTAGTCATCGATAGCCAATTTTCTGTTTCCTGTTTCCTTCTTTTCCTTATGCTTCATTTTTATTTTAACTTTCTTTCAACTGGTTGACAGAGACAAGAACCAAGCATCAAGACAAAAGCAACAATGGCGAGACAATTCCTCAGGAAGCTCTTTCAAATCATTTTCTACATTCAGTTGTTCATAGTCTCCATCTTTGTAATCGTGTTAACCATCCGTGGCCTCATCTATCCTAATAATACCAATCATTTCCACCCCAAGAAATAGTACCCTTCACTTCTTGTTTCAACAGCTTCTGCTGGAATTTGTTTCTTTTCTATTGTAGTCGATCTCTTTTCACAATCCATTAAAAGCCATAAAAGCAACCTTCTGGGCTAGTCCCCTGCTAACATGTGCAGTTGGTGTATTCTACGTATTAATTGGTTTTCCGATGAGTTTAGCAGCAGGTACGATTGTAGTAGTTTCTGGCGTGATCGAGTTGTTCTATGCCTGTTGGGTCAATCCCAAATTTCCTTATACAGCCAAGGTCCTCGCTGTTTCCACATCTTTTTCGCCTAATAAAACCATTACATTTGTCACTGTATCCATCATAACCCGTGTAGTCTACTCCTCTTTCTTGGTGATTGGAATTAAAGGTCCAATTGCGACCGGAACTGGCTTGGACATCTTTTCATCATAGTTATCGTGCTTACCTTCTCATGGAGTATGCAAGTGTTCAAGAACTTTCATTTAAAATTATAATACTTGAATCATTCTTATTTTTCTTCGTTTTCACATAAAAATTATAATATACGATAATTAAAAAATCAGACGATTGATCAAATAATTAAAAAAATGTCAATGGTCCCAATATGGTACACATAGTTAATAATATAAACAATAATCATAGTACATTAAATATTATATTTATTTTTTAAAAAACTTTTAATATTTTTATAATATTTTGTGTGTACATTTTTTATAATTTTTATGTTAAATAATACATATATTGAAAATGAAAAAGGGTCAACCCAACATATCGAATCAAATTCTAATTTTACTAAATATTAAGTCCTTTACTTAAAAAACTAAATTTGAATCTTTATTTTCTCATAATTATACTTTCATAAGTAAATTTTTGCAAGTTGGGGGTAAATGCGTAATAAATCAATATCCATCAACTTCAATTTTTTTTATTAGTATGTTACATGCATTTAAATTTTTTTAACAATACTTCCATGTAAATTTATATCAAATGGTAAGTATAGAATGAAATTGAAGTAAAATTTCTTGTTAGATGTTTAAGGGAGTAAATAAATTTACTCATAAATTATTCAAGTTCATATCTTAGAATTTGACTCCTTTATCGTCAAACTAAACTTGTATTTGAATTAAAGCATATTCAAACTTTGAAATATTCAAGTGATGCATAAATTTTATCAAATATCTCAATTTTTAAATATTACATATATATAAATAGAATATAATACTTATTTACATATTTTAAATTTTTATTTAAACTTTAATTTCGAATGCAAATTCAAGTTGGATATGATTTTCAAATTCTTTACATAAATTATAATAATTGAGTGTCAAATTTGTGTAACTCAATTAATTTTCGAATCAAGTTTGGAAAAAAAAATTAACCATCAGATTCCATCTTACAATATTTTGATTTGGCTCCATTAATATACGGTCATAAAATTTGTAACTGTCGTTAATGTGTCAAATAATAAAATCTATTTATAGTATAAATGTTGCAGATGTTCAACGAAACAATTTGTTACACCTCCTTTGTTGTTTTTTTGTTTTAGTTTTTTATATATTTTATTATTAAATTAAATTTATTTTCTTTCAAGTGTGGCCCATTGCTTTCTGTGGAACCTTTTTTTTTCTGTTTTTCCTTTTTTTATATTTATATTTTATTTTTTAAAAAGTTTTAAATATATAATATTATAAAATTATTTTTTCGAGGACCACTATTTTTTAATTGTGGAACTTCTTTTTCCTTGATAAGTTTTTTTTATGGAGGATGTGGAAATATGCTAGCTAGTTGAGGGATTGAGTTATCTAGGATTTTGTTTTATATTTTATGGGTTTGATTGTAATTTTTGCATATATTTAGGCTATTTTCAGGTTATTTTATATTAATTAGTATTTTATTTAATTCCATAGTATTAGGATTTTAGGATTATATTTGGTATTAAGCTTATAGCTTATAAATATCTATGTTATTTTAGGTTTTAGATGATGAATATTTGAGATTGAGATATTGAGGTATGAGATTTTATCCCACTTTTCTAGGTTTCTCTACTAATTACCTCTGCATCTCCCTAATTGCCTCTATCTATCTCTGATTTTTCTCTAAATTTCTACTATATATTTTTCCCTTACTTGTTTGACATCAATAATACAAAACAAAATCTTCCAATTTCAAGATGTAACTAATGCAACCCATTTAATAAAGCACTGCTTTTGTTTGCTATTTCTTGGAAATTTCTCTCACTTGAACATCAGCTTCTATAGAGTGGATTATGACTTTTGTTTTGGGATGGATGTTCTGTGACACTTTTTCATTAAATCACAATAGCATTCTATTTCAAATTCTGTGCAAAAAGATGTGGAATAGTTTTAGCTGCTTCAGTTTCCCACCCCCCAAATTAGAAAAAATAAATCCTCTTCAAAAATGATTTGTTTTCTTTTGTTTGGATAATTGTATTGTGCTTAATGCTATGTCTTTGATGCTTTCTTTTTTGGGTTTTTTTTAGAGTCCTGATTGCTTTCTTTAGTGTCTTTATAGATCTTGGATTCCATTATTGATTTGACTTTGTTTCTGTATCCAAAATGATACCATCATGGTAACTCTAAAATAGAAACATTGACAATGAGGTGAAAAATGAGTTTGTCATCATTCTTTTTATTTCGTGTAAGACATTTATTGATTTAAATTGTTGATATTCTACTACTTATTATGATTCTGGGACATACATTAGCAAATGGACTCTTTTGTTGCATTCCGGTGCGAATAGTGCTAGCTAACACAAGTAATCTTGTTTTACAATGAATCCACTAGCCTGGGGCTAGTCCAAATGACACAGATTTGTAGCACGGACGCCTAACGCTTCCATCTCCAATGTTAAGGCTCAAGCCCCTATTTTTGATTCACCTAATGGGCCAGCAAAACGAGCTAGGAGAACACTATCAAAGAAGATGTACAGAAGAAATCTAGTGTCAAATCAGCACAGTGGCAAGATACCAAATTTTGATCAATCTAGAAATAACAATTGTAGTAAATGATCATAGCTTTTTAGGTTGTTA